AGAGAGAGAGAGAGAGAGAGAGAGAGAGAGAGAGAGAGAGAGAGAGAGAGACAGAGACAGAGACAGAGACAGAGACAGAGATCCAGAACTAGAGAGAAATTCTAATATACACACACACAAATTTACCAACCTGCGAACATTCCTTATATCCATACTTGACGTTAGCCAAGGAGTCTTTACGGCTCTGTGAACTGGAGGCACTGAAAGCCCGCGCCATGTTCCTGGCACCTGGGGAAAGAAAAAGAGGGAGGGAGGTTTTGTTTTAGTTTTAGTAAAAAATTTAACGGCACTTGTAACACAATAAGGTCATACGAGCATCAGAAGATTAGAAGTGTTACAAGAGAGTAACTAACTCAAAAAAGAAGGAGGGGGATATAAAGACGATAGATGTTTGATAGATAGGAAAGAAGAAAGAAACCACATCAGAGCACCTGCCAACCACCCACATGCACAGGTGCTTTGAGGGGCACACACACACATACACACACACACACACACACACACACACACACACACACACACACACACACACAGACACACACACACACATAACAGTAACAAAAAACTCACCTTCCCTGAGCTGTTGGTTCAGCATGTAACAGTCATGCAGCTCGTCAATCTGTGGGGAGGGGGTGGGGGGGAGGACAGTACATGGTTTTAGTAAGTTTTGTACCATTTTCAATACAATTAGGTCATTAAAATATAGAGCCAAAGATTTGAGGTTTTTCAAGATAGTAACACACTCAAAAAAGAAGCTGGATAAAGAAGGGTGACAGATGTTTCATAAGAAACAAGGAGCAGACCACGCCGCCAGGGCATCCGCCAACCACCCACTCAAGAGTATTATAAAGGCATTTTCAACACAATTAGGTCATATAAGTGCTGAAAATAGAGGTGTTACTTGGAGAAGGGACCTATCACGCTTATACGTGAAGTTTTTAATAATTTATTAGTATGGAATAATAAAAGGCACGTTATAGTTATAGAATATGGCCTTAGCAAAAGTTCTACAAATTTGACCCCTGTGTCGATTTTTAGCCACTATCTCCATTTTGTGGATTGCGAGAAGTAACTCATTTTGTCAGCACGCCTCACAAATGACTCCACCACCCAAGCCTAACCTTTGGTTTAGATTAATTTCAGTAAGAGTTTTACAGCACTGGCAACATAATTAGGTCATGCAAGTGCCTAAGATCAGTGGTGTTACAAGAGAGTAACAATCATACAAAACAAGGAGGAAGTGTAATAAGGACGATAGAAGTTTGATAGAAAAGAAGGAGCAAACCACACCAGAGCACCTGCCAACTACCCACTCTCACACCAGAGTGCGCTCCAGCCATCTACTCTACATTCATAATTAATTAAATCCCTCACGAAAAAATAATTCACCAACCCCCCCCCATCCCCCCCTCCCGGGAAGACACAAACCAAACGTCTCCACTACCCGAGTGAGTCTAACCTTTGCCAGATGGAACTCCAGTCTTTTCAGGTAACGTTCTGCAGATTTGATTTGCTGAAACAGAGAAAAAAAAACAAAAAAAAACTCAAAATATTGATTGACAGATCGATCAAGTACATGTTTTACGGCATATTGACACAGTTTTAAAAAACCAAAGCAATAAGATATTGTTACATATTGAACAATTACGTGGAAGCGGGTGCAAAGG